GACCAAAATTTGTTGTGTGGAAAAGAAGCAAAATAGCCCTCTACATGGAAGAGGGTCTCATTAGCTCAAAAGTGTGTGATGCAACAAGAGAGCAGCGTAGACTTCACAACCCCGAACTTCGCACTCACCATGCATCAGTTATGGAACACCTGACAATCAGTAAAGTTGAGCACCTAATCATTCCAACGTGGTATACTGAATAAAAGAGGGACCAAGATTCACAAAACAACCTTACCACAAATGCATTTTTCAAAAAATGAACATAAATGTAAGTACAGTATCTCTATTATCTGTTTCTAAAATGTTGGAAATATGTTACCACTTAAAAAGAATATATAGATATGTATCTTCCATACTCAGGCCAATACTACACATTCCATGTTTTGTACAATGGCCAGGGTTAAAATCTACCAATATTGTATGCAAGGGTGGCCTACGGCATACTACTCTGAGAATGCAGAGGTCACTTGTAAGGGAAATAATTGTGCAAATGCACTAAACTGATTTTTTTTAATTGTCAAAGGGCATGTGCACTTGTGAGAGAGTGAGAGAGAGAGAGAAATCTCCCAGAGGCACGTGGTCATGCCACAATCAGTTTTTCTCCATCCTATCAGAATGTTGTGCTTGCCTGGCGGGTCTTTCAAGCTGCAGGGCTGGGAGTCTAACTGCTGAAGGCCATGTGGGATTCAACTTTCTCTGCATAGCAATGAACTCCTGTGCTTTAGGCTGGCCTCACTAAACTGATACATTTTAACTTCCTCTATCAGTCATGTTTCATTTAGTCTCACCCCCTGAGGTTAGGCTCATCACCATAGGGTAGGAGAGGGTCTGTCTTTAAGCGCTAGATAATGAAAAAATGCTCAGAAATCAGGTATGCATATGTTGGCAGGGGTGAGGGAGAGGAGAACTTGCTAAACACTTTTTTTCTGGCTAAAAGGACTCAACTACTATGTTTTGCCTCTAATGCGAAGGTAATGTGGGGAGAGTGAGATGTTTTAATAAGAGGCTGACAAAGGTAAAATGCAAAAAGACCTGAGACAGCCACAGCGAAGGAAGGAGGCATGGTCAGACTGGGACGATCCTGAGGGTCAGCAGTCTTAAACAGCCTGAGGTCCCCTCTAGTGACTGAGCCAAGGGTTTCACATGAGGCTGTTGTGGCAGGGGGAGATCAGAGGCTGGGGTAGCTGACTAAGCCTGTGGGCTGTGTGAGGCCCATAGAAGAGTCTGGAAGGCCACAGCCCACAGGAGCTGAAGTACAGCCCTCACCAAGTTGAGAAGCTAGGTCGCCAAGCTGAGATGCTGGGTCACAGGCTCCTGTAGCTGCAGATTTTCAACCCACTGCAGCCAGGAAGTCAGGTGGGCAAGTAACCTGACCCCAGACAGCAACAGACAGAGAAGTCCTCCTTCCCATGCAAAAAGCTTCCTTCCCAATATCATCTGAGAGGATGACCCAGGGAATGTAGAGGTCACTTGTCAGAGGTCACTCCAAAGTCACTTTAGGGATGAAAAAGTTTTAAAAGCATTAGGAGGCAAACCAATAGACTGTTCAAACCTATTTAAATAAAAATGTCTATTTTTTAAAATGATTGTTGAAATTATCAGCTCAATAACATGCTTGAATATTTATTTAATTTTTCCTTCCAGCTGACTAGTTGGAAGGGACTTGGAAATATGCTCATATTAGTTAAAACCCAAATGACAAAGTGTGTTTTCTCTGCACATCTAAGTTATGAGTTTAATTTGTTATTATCCCATAGCTTTAAAAATAATACAGAAGATGGAACTGCAGTTCTCCTGCATCATATTGAGACAATATATAAAACTGTACAAAGCCTAGAGGTACAGGGTATTTGGGGGGCACTTGAAGTCCCCACCCCCTACTTCGGTTCTGGAGTCACTGCTATTGTCTGCTTGGAAAATGTGTTTCTCTGCTCATTTTGTTGTGAAAATAAAACTGCTCTGAAAAAAAAAAATCAAACCTCTTAAAAAATACTCCCATAGTACTTTCTTACATTTTTTCAGGGATGGGAATAGCCATCATTGAACAAAACACAAGATATATTCTTCTCTTATACTGAAATTTGATTCCTGTATTTCTATTAACCACCGGCCTCTGAAACATGTTTAAGAGATAGTCCCCCTCCCCCCATTATCTTTCCTCAAGATGTAAACCAGCAATACTTAACTACCACCACCAAGTCTGAGGTCAGAAATGAGGGCAGATGGTCATTTAATCTTTGAAAGACTGAGATTTCCTCTACTGCTTAGCTGGATGACAACAGAGTGTACCCTAGTGCTTTCCTTCCTATGCATACTGAATCAACTTGTTTCTCTCTCTCTCTCTCTAATAGGTTTTTCATTTCAAGAACATAACTCAAAGCATAATCACAATCTTGGTAACACTTCTGAAGCTACCCTAAAAACTTCCTCTTTAAAATCTAAGTGAAACGTAGAGCAACCAAGACAGCATGTGTGCATGTGCAGGTATGCGTTCCAGTAATCTAGCGAAACACTGACATTCAAATGGCCAAGTCAAACAGCATGCAACAACATAAGACATCTGTTTATTCAGTTCATATTACAATAGTAGCAGGTTAAGGACACTAGATTTATATCCTCCTAAGAAGATAATAATCACGATTTAGGTTTGTAAATTTCATTGTTCTTAACCATTAAAAATCTATTTTCCAAAAGAGTAATAATATATATTATTAAAGGACAGATCTAAACTTTCTGATTTATGACCAAAAGCATATTTGTTCATTTGTTTAAACAAAACATTTGGGATATTTTAACTCTTGGTTACTGCTTTCAGAAAAGCACAAAGTTCTGAAGCAAATATACACAAAACATATTTTTCAATAGTGATTTTGACTATTGTGTACAGTGTCAACGAGAGAACCTGAGAACCCAAGATTTAGTATCTCCAAAATTGTAATACACTCTGGCTTACTGAAACAAACATGTGAGTTTAGTGCTACTATGTACAAGTCAGCAGACAGAAACCAAAGAGGAAATACAGAGAAGTGAAATGATTGGTTCCTGCCCTGCTCAGGCTTCCAATGCGCTTGGTAAGATTTAAAATAGATGCAAATCATTCCATTTTCAATGTCTTTCAAAAGAAGCCACAGTATCAACTGGATGGCCCATCAGAATCACCTCTGCTACAACCTGGAGAAAGGAGGGCCATCCTGCGCCATGACAGAAGTCTCTGAATTAGATGTCTCAGCTGCAGGCTTGAGTGCTGCTTCAACTCCCGACACTGAGAGTGTTCCAGCCAGATTGGCGTCTGTGACCATTAGTGGCTGTATGTGGAATTGTTTCATAGACTCGTGACAATGGAGCAAGATAAACAAATATGTATATATATATATTATATGCACATTATATATGTACTCAAATCACATATGGGATGATTTTCCCTATATATATTTCCTGGAAAGCCTAAAGTTCAAGACTTTCCACTCTGCGTGGAGAGGCGGCTAACCAGCATTATTTATTTAACATTGCAATATGACAAGACACTACAATAAGAAACATATGAAAAATCTCTAAACTTCACTGGACACAAGCAAAAATAGGCTAGGAGAAAGGTTAAGAAAAGAGGGCACAGCAAAGAGGGGAGGTTCTGAGGGGGCCCCCACTTTCATTTCTAACCCTAGGGTCCCAAAGGAAAGTCCCTGGTTAGGTAAACAGAAGAAAGGAAAGCAGATTCATTTTCCAACACCACAAATAAATAAATAAATAAATAAGTTAACCGAGAAAAGAACTTATTAGGCACCGCTTGAAAGGCAGCAACCCTCAGGGACCAGGCTGGGCTGGCCATATCTGGAACCTGCAGGCTAGGGTCACAGGGCCAGCTTTGGCCAAGGCTCCCAATGCGTCACCCCAGTTCCCGGTCCAGCGCCAGATCTCAAGATGAACCCGAGCAGGAAATCGCCAGTGTTGCTACTCTTCCTTAGTCTCCGGGAACGCTCAGGCGAGGGGGAGAGTCAAGCCGAGCTTCAGCGGCGAGTCTGAGCGACTCCCGGAAGCGCACCCTACCTAAAGCCGACGCGCAGCCTGGAGCGTCTAGAGTTCTTTGCACCCAGAGCGCACCGCGCCGGTTCTAAGCCGGAGGGTGGCTTCTATTTACAACTCTCTCAAACTCCAGAATTTCCCCAAAACTGCTCGTTCGCCTTGTTCTCAGCTCCGTCTTGGTCCAAAGGGAGATTTTGATGGAGACTGCAGAAAGCTTGGAATTCGAAGCGCGGGACCTATTTTACTAAGCACCTGGCTCCGCTCTGGGTGGAGTGCGAGTGGTAGAGGGACGCTGGGCAAGGATGCGTCCTCACCAGAGAGGAGGAAAAAGGACCTGCCGCGCACCTCAGTCTCAAGTCCGACTTCCCTTAAAGTAGGGCCTCGCAAAGGAAGAGAGACTTTGCTCCGGAGACTCCGCTAGGGGCACCAGGCAGAACCCGGCCACAGAGCAGAGCGGCAGGGCGGGGCTGAGGCGACCTGGGGACTCGCCCCGAGGGAAACTCGTGGCGGCAACGTGGCTCAGCTTAAATAAACAGAAATAAGGGCTAAAGGGGCTAAGTGTCAGACTGAGTTGGCGACGTTAATGAGTTCGCTCTCTGCACCAGCGGGACCGCGAGGAAGGAAGGTCGGAAGTTACAGGGTGGGGAGAATAAAGGGGTACGAGGTCGGAAGTTACAGGGTGGGGAGAATAAAGGAGAACGGAGGAGAAAGCAGAGTGGAGAAAAGGGCCACGAATGGGAAATAAGGGAGAAGGTGACTCCTCAGCAGATCAACTCTGACTTCTACCTTTGTCGCGCACCTTCCACAGGTCCCTCTACCAGAGGCACCGGGTGTCCCAGCCTCCTGTTAACCACACTGCATCTGGGCTTCCTGGATACCTTGCCCTCGCACCGGCCTCCCCCTTCTCCTCCCTTCCGCGCAGGGCCCCAGTGTGGCCCCAGCTCAGA